ATCTTTCGGTCTGAAGATGAATAAAAAAGAAAAAAAAAATTCATAAAATAAATTATAACCGAAATGGATTTTTAAGGTTTTTCTTGATTTATTATTATATTGCGCTGTAATTTCCATCCAGCTCCCTTTCGATTAATTTCCTCTTTGGAATTATCCCTACCAATTACAAATTGGTATTATATGTTGATTGCCTCATCTTCACAGATCACTGCCGTCTTGCCCATTAATACCTACATTCAGTCTAGATCATTGTTTTCCCTCCAATGACTTTGAAGTTGGCTTTTCAAACCAGCAGCTGATTTACAAGGCCTATAGCATGGATAAGAGATGTGCTCGAGAATCTTCATAGGGTTAAGCGGATATATATATATGAGGTGTGAATATTTAATTGTCGGAATGACTGCAGCAGGTCGCTGGGTATAGAGTCAGTAAAACATTTGTTATTGAACACATTCTGACATGTCCTATATATATATATATATATATATATATATATATATATATATATATATATATATATATATATATATTAAATTTAAAATGTGACATCCAATAGAGACTGAGTCTTTCGTGTAAGCCAAGTCGATAATTTTGTTGTCGTGAAACCAAAATATATATTTCCGATTTTTGTCAGAGATATAATCTCCCAAAAGACATTTAAATTGATATACAATGTTGGTCTTTAGCAAAACATTGGTTGACGGAGAATAGTTATTGCGGATGATTAAGTTGGTTGCATTTAATTTAGTATAGTATACAATTCGTTTTATTTTTACTGGGATCTGTAGGGGGATGTATTAGTAATTATGTGTTTTCTTAAGATTTTTTTAATCTTGCCCGTCGTTATAATCAATTTGATTGCGTTATAATAGGTTAATATGTTTAGAGTTATTTGAGGGAATATTACGTTCTTTTTTATTTATGTTAATATTATTAATAGCTTGTCTAATTTGTTAATCAACAATGTAATTCGGAAAGTAATGAGAGTTTGTTTAATCTTTCTAATTCAGTGTAGAAATTTTTTTCGTGGAAGTTTAATCTGGAAGTGGAAGTATAATTTTAACCGCTGTGCCATGTATCCTTGAGGACACATGGCACAATGGATAAAAGAGTTAGTTAGATCCGGTGACAGGACCCAAAGAGTGTGAGTTCAATACCTGGTTAAAGCAATGGAGGCCTTTCAAAGGGGAATTAACAGGAGATAACTGACATCCATTAGACATGGCACGTGAAAATAGAACAGTCTACCCCAGTGAGCGAAATAAAGAGTTCAGTTCGACATTCCAACCACCTGAAGTAGGCCGGAGCGTATAACGGCCGAAACGTTGTGATAAACATGACGACAAAGATGAAGTCAATAGTCTGAATAATGTAAATAGTGTACATAATACCTCATCTCAGAAATATAGACAGATACTGAAGTTTAAGCGTCTAAAGATTTTTTCTTTTTCTCTCAGATTTGGCGGACATTTGGGCGATATTATTTTTCACACATAATTGCCATGACTTAAATAACATAATCTAATAGAGAAATAAATACATTTTCACCAATAACACTGATTTATTTACTGCTGACTTAATAATAATTTACCCGACACTATTAGGAACATACTAGTAGAAAACACTAATATATTAACTGCATCCACTTGCAAAAAAAGACTAAAAATAATGGAAGCTCTAATAATAAAAAAGAAAAAGCCAACTCTTAACAATATCAACTATGAACAAAGCCACAATGTGCTAACCGTATTCGGAAACTAAAACATCACTACCACACACTGAACATACATAGGACACACTCTACTAAGCTGATAATTGAACCATCCTTGATAATGGCTAAAGGTATAGCCGAAAGCGCTCGGAAACACAGAACATTCGGACAGTTCTTACACACTCTTTGTCCAGAAAAGAAAGCTCTTGTCAGAACACAAGAAAAATTAAATAAAAAGCTCAACTGTAGTACCTTGTCTGTCGTTTTTAACGAAACTTGCATATATATATATATATATATATATATATATATATATATATATATATATATATATATATATATATATATATATATATATATATCTTAAGTATATTTATTAAGAAATGCAATTAAATGTTAATTTGTCTTGCCCACACAAAGATTTTCGCAGAGATTGCATCGACTTATCTGGGGTACAAGATTACAAAATCAAAGCACAATTAGTACAAAGACTATTTCCCTTAAAAGCTTTATCTTCTCGAAATACTTGGACAACCTCTTTTTGTCTTTTTGACGAAACCCAATCTTTGTTATTCTCGTTATAAAAAATATTGAAAAAAAAGATACGAGATTTTAGGCGAGAGTATACAGAATTTGAACGAAGCCTTATGACAATGTCTTCCGTAATTTCGCATCGCTTGTCAATTCGCGAACAAGTGTGTATATTACCGGTAGTACATTAATTTGAAGAAGATCCTGTAAAAACGTTGTTTTAGGAAAAAAAAAAATGGTTTGTTTTTTTTTTTTCCTGGTAGCAACTCGTCCATGTATATTTGAATGTATCGCAGTGCTTAAGCCCATGACAGAAAACAAATATGAAATGCCGCGCAGAAAAAACAAAAAATAAAACTTCGAAATAACCATCACCAATAATGACAGAAGAAAATGTAGGTAAAATAAATAAAGCGAAAAGCACCTAACATAAGGGAAATATTACGCGTCAGATATGTGTTATTACTTTCTGAATGTATCTGCTCAACAAAAGCCTAGTGTAAAATGAGGATTCGGTCTCGGCTGTTGTGATTGGATAATAAGTATTTACAAAGGAACAGTTGGCGGTAAAACGACCGATTCCGTATACGTATGGAAAAGTTTGAAA